CCAAAACCCCAAAACCCCAAAACCCCAAAACCCCAAAACCCCAAAACCCCTAAAACTTAGTTCGGTCTTAATATAATGTATCAATAATAAAATTGCAATAAAATTAATAATGGAAAATTAAATTCAGTCAGATTTTAATCAGGAAAAACTTATTCAATTTTGGACAGGCAATCCTTCAGTAGATATATGGCATGGTGAATTGCAGTTATCTGGTTTCTACGATTAATAAACTTTTCATCAACGGTCTTTTAAAAATGAGTATTTATGTTGCCCAGACATCCCTACTCATATTCATATTATTGAGTTTTGTGAGTTCATTGAACCATTTTAAAAATCAATAAGCAAAATAAGAGTCTTAAGAGGATCAGAGCCCCAGTCATACATAGTTGTCATTAAAATGAATTCAAGTAAAAAATCAGTCTATTTTTATATAATTCTTTAGCAAAGGATGCGATGGAGTTTGCAAAGAACTATCATAGAAGAAAATTTAACCAAATAGAGTCAGATCTTTGCCAAGTCTTTAAACTATTATCTGCATCGTTGGAAAATGATAGACTTAAGGATGATAGTGAGAAAGTAGAACTTATTAACACCAAGACTAATACTCAGAGTTCCTAATAAGCAACCTAAAATTTTAGCCTAATAAACTAAGAGCATGGTGAATAAAAGCATCCAGATATTTTATTTGATTCTGAGAAAATGTAGTCAAACTGTCCAATATGTCTTGAGTCTCTTACAGATATATTTGAATAGAGAGCTAACAGTCCTCCTAATCTTTAAGGTTAAAGCACTCTCAGCAATAACCAATAGAAAATAGATCATCATAAACTAAACAAAATGATCTCAGAGAAATTAAGAGGAGGTGCTGATGACTACACTTTGACTATCCTTTGTTGTCACAATTTTCATCAGATGTGTCTTCGAAACTGGAATGATACTACTTGCCCATTATGCAGATATATTTAGAGTCCTGTTGAAAGCTCATAATGTGATTAATGTAGTGCAACTGAAAATCTATGGGTATGTCTGATTTGTGGTTTCATAGGGTGCTTTAAATTAGCTGCATTTACTAATTCCAGTAGGGCTGAAGGAGATAGATTGTTGTACGATTCAGACTAGTATAATTCTGAAGATTATCTAGTTCTCCAATCATTTGGTCATAGTCATGAGCACTATGAAGATTCTAAGCATACTTATGCGATGGAAATAGAAACACACAATGTCTGGGACTTTTGTAAGGTAAATATTATCTTAATTTGCTAAAAATTTATTTCAGGAGAATTTTGTGCATAGGCTAATCTAGAATTAGATAGATGGAAAGCTAGTAGAGTTTGGTGATCCAACTCTGACAGAATCGCTACTTTAGACTCAGCGTTCGAATGAGTTTGAAAATTCTTCCTCTGATGGAACCATATCAAATAATCGATAGAATTAGCAGAGACACTTCAATAGCGAGAAAGATTTCACAGTAGATAGTGTCCATCGATATAATAAAAAGATAGAGAGTCTCAATTATGAGTATAATCATATGCTAGCCTAAACAGTAAGTCTTATACTTCTAAATAAATTTAATTAGCTTGAGAATCAGAGAACCTATTTTGAACAAAGATTAGGTGAGCTAAATAGAGAAGAAGACTACTAAATCGAATCTAAGAAGCATGAGATTACAGACATTGAGAATAAACTCATCAAGATTGATGCATCAATTGAAAATCTTAACACATCTCTGGATCAGGAAAAACTGCATTTTGATAGCATAAAGGAAACATATGCTATAGATCTGAAAGACCTACTTACCATTGAAATCGAAAATAAAAGGCTGAGAGAGGAAAGTGAATTATAAAGCAATTAGATTGATATTGAGATAAAAAAATTGTAAGAGGAATTGAAATAACTTGATTAAGAAGTTAATGAGGCTAGGCAAGATAAATAGGATTTGATAAATCATATGAAGATGACAGAAAAGGTAAAAAAAAGTAAGAACCAACATGAAATAATGCAAGGACAAACTTTGATATTTGAAACTGGATAAAATAGTTCAGCTGGAAAGGGAGGAAGGAAAAACAAAAGGAATAAGTGAACCCTCTTCTAAAAGATGATTCAATTTTAAAGTGCTTTTGTAAGGATAATAATTATCAATCAACTTAGAATTAATATCTAAGTATCACATTATTTGTTTTATAGTTGAAAGCCGGGGTTTTGGGGTTTTGGGG